AGCAAGAAAAGAACAATAGAAATTCCTGAAATTTCGTTGTTTTTTTTTTGAAAAATGGCCATTAATTTTAGACGTCATTAGTGAACGGTCCCTAAGCTGCTTTTTAAGAATTGTAAGTAATATGAGAATAAAGTAAACACACACATACACAAATGTACAGGCAAATTGAGGTGAGGTTAATGCCAGACTAAAGAAAGACTTGTCTTGTTGAATTAAGTATGTGAAAAAATGTGTCTTAAGTATTTCACAAATTGCATGTCTTTTTGACGATTTACTTAGAAATCGAAATTAATATTGATCGTGTTTATTTGCTAGCTTCTTATTACATACTTTGACGTGTCAATAAAGAATTTGACAATTGTATTATGTTATGTGATGGATATTGTTATAGATGTTGATGGTATGTTATGGGCTCTTGAGTGTATGGTGCAGATCATTAAGTCAATTAAGCGCGGAACTGATTAAATGCTCAAAAATGTTCAAAAAATGATCAAAATCAAGTTCCGCATCCTCTTTTTAAATGCAAGGAATTCATCACCTATCAAACTCAATAAGATCATTTACATCCAAACTAAATCTTCCCTCTGGCGCCAGTATTCCAAACATTTCACAACAAATATACCCAAAAATCCATTTTCATCTATCTTCTCTCCTTTTTTCATCCAGAAGTCTCAAAAATACACTTTCCCATTCAAATGTTATTGATAAAGTCAAACAAACTACTTTTCAATATCAAGGCATAGATCGAAGATATTTATTGACGCAAACAAACGCCTGAGGGTCATTAAAGATTAACCTTTCCATTTTCTATTTTGGTTTTGAAGTTGATTCTTGCTTACTGATATTCAATTCCCTATTTTGTAGTCAGAAGATGTAACATTTGACAGGAGGTTTGTTGATTTGAACTTGATATGGAACAATAGATTGTGGGGAGATGTGAGTGAATGTAAGCCACAGATATGAAGTTGTTGTCTTTTTTGAATGAATTTTAAATGATACTGTAGGAATATGCAATTCTATGTAATAGCTAGTCAAGGATAAGTCATATGTTGCAAGGGAACAGTAAAAAGAGTGCAACTTGTATATCGGATTTAGCCATATAGTCGTCTAACCCCCGATAACTCAGTGGTAGGAGCATGCAACTGGAAATCAAAAGAAATGGGTTCAAGTCCCGCTCGGGATCCGTTATTCGGAGTTATACTTTCTTCTGTGGTTTTGTCATCTAGAAGTTTGCTTCTTCCTTGTAGATGTTTCAATAGATACAATAGATTTAATCATCGATCAGGAACACAGTGTCTCCAGCTCGTCGCACCGTGTAGAAGCACATCGCTTGAATGGAACCAGGCACGTAGCCAGGCCTCTTATGCGTTTGAGACCGTGCTCTCGCTATGGTTCAAAACGTTTAAGGAGGGACAAGACCCTCCTGGCTACGCGGCTGGCTGAAACCCTCTGACATGATTATTATTATGATGAATTTTGATAATATTTTGGTGAGTTTGGTTTTGAATTTATGGTGAATTTTGATGAATTTGACGGAAAAGTATGCTTTATTTGCAAATTCCCTCAATAGTTAATTCAGTCTATGACTTTATCAATGAATAGCTTTCTTGCCCAATCGATATATCTCACTATATAAAGACAACAACGAATAAGATTAGATTAAATTCCAGCAATTAATCAAAAAATCCAGAACACATTTTTGCATATCACGATAATAACACCAAATGAATGTGGAGCGATTTATGAACGAAACATTCTTCAAATGACGCAATTGTCAGCTGTTCACAATGAACTGTCTTTGATATTTTTTCCGCGATAATCTTTCATTCATAAAATCTTGGTGCCTTTTGGTATTGAAATTTTCTGTTATTTAATCATTAATCAGAATCGTGTAGATGACGTAGGTGTTAAATTTCAAATTCAAATATTTAAAGGAACCAAAAAACTATCAAAAAATTCAAATCACATAAAATTTAATTTTCTAAAAAAAAAATCACAAAAGCTTTTTGCATAAATTGAACATTACTCAGCATAATGGCTTTGATTGTATCGCTTATTTTTCGTATTTCAGTTCAATGTATTGAATAAAATAATCCAAAGAGTGCTGTACAGATTCATAAATCCCGATTGAATAATTTTCTGGTACTTGTTGCCAAAATAATAAATTTCGGCATTTGTTTTGGCTTCTTTTATCTCTTAAAGGCATTTCCTTGGGATTTTTTATGTGAATTGTAGCTTAAAAGAAATTCTTATGGCAAATTTGGATAAAAATTGGTATTCCTGAATTTCCCTTTAACTAATCCTCGCACTCATAAAGCATTTAACAGAACTCATTCACACATTTTAAAATAAAAGCTCTCACATATTCCTAGAACAATGAATAAAAAAGGAACATAGGAAGCATGTGTCTAATAAAACAGCAAAGCACATATAAATGCTAAAAGCTCAACACGATAATAAAAGATTTCCCTCGAGTAATCTTTGAACAAATTGCCCATCAATATTCAACCGCTCAACTGTGTATCCCTCGATATATGCATGCATTCTATTCGTCCATAACTATCTCATGATACATTCCATGGGATGTACATTTGTGTGTAAATATGGGATGGAAATGGCTCGGGTACTCTTTAGAAAATGTTCAGGGTGATTGTGTGAAGTGATTATGAATTGGATGGATTTAGAGAACGAAGGCAGACAATTCAATGTAATTAAATGTTTGATTGTGAATGTGTGAATATGAAGCATATAGGATGTATTAAGTGCTTGAAAATGTTATCGATTTCTGATACTTGAAATGATTAAGAACGGATGAAATTAATCAAAAATCTTTAAAGATTTGTTGGAATTCTAATTATGGTCAATTTGTTGAATTTAAGTATGCTGAAGTGGCTTGGTGACCGGTACCTAATTATTGCAATACCGACACAACGATCATGGATTCAAGACTCGTCATGGGAAATTTTGCATGTTCTTTTTTGAATCATATATACCAGGCGTGTAGCCAGGAGGGTCTTGTCCCCCTCTTAAGCGTTTTAGGGATTGCTCTCGCTTCGGTTCAAAACGTTTAAGAGGAAGACAAGACCCTCCTGGCTACGCGCCTCATATGTACTGAAAATGAAGCTCACAGCCATTCTTTGTAGGCAACAGACAGCAATGTTATCAAAAGTGTGCTTAGGATCCCTCTATAGACTCTAGGTCTAGGTTTGAACGTGAAACTCCCACTAGCTGCCCTATCATACTTCTGAATCAGAATGTATTCATCCTTTCAAGACAAACTTCTTCTTTTTCTTTCTTCTTCGCTGGACGTACAGATCAATTTTGATCCATAGCCTCCCTTAGATGGCGCCTGAAGCTGACTCTACCGCAGGTTCCAATTTGCCAATTACCCATACCAAATGCAATACTGTTTCTGTCAAGAGTTCTTGGGACGCCCGCTTCTAGACACGCGTATATCCCTAAATGTAAGAATACAAACTTAATAAAAAATTGCGAACCCCAAAAAAAGAAATTTTTATTCCTTTATTCAGCCTGTTCATTTAATATTATCATGTCGATAGAAAAGTATTCACACACTTAACAGTGTGTATATGGCAATTGTACCCTAGATCCATATAATAATAATAATAATCATAATCATATCGTATCATTTTTACAACCACAGCGCTACATATTCAATAAAATTATAACCGCAATATGTTTTCATTTCACATCCAATTCTGCATGTATATGCGGCAAGACAAATAATAATTTTCTGTTGTCTTTTTCAATATCATCAAAATCCGCAGTTGAACGATAAGGCAAGCTGACTAATTGCTGTTAACTGTATATAATTACCACCAATTAACAATTGAATTGAGGTATTGCGATAATTTAGTGCGCAACAAACAAAAAAAATGATAAGCTTGATTGTAAATGTATTTTGCAATTTGTTGATAAGATTGTTACGGATTTAAGGGCCATGACGACAAAAAATGTATGTTGGGAGCAGCAGTGAACACATTTACAAGTACAATAAGAAGTAGACTTCTTTTTAAGTATCATAAAAGCTGTCTTTATTGATGAAGTGGGATTCTTAATAAGTTTTATGTCTACTCGAAAGTTCCGTTCCAAAAGAATTGATGAAGTAATTGACTTATTGTGATTTTGTTGTGGTTCTTCTGTCTGCATTTTTAGGGTCTGTTTTGAATTTATTGTGTTGAATGATTCGTCTGAACTTTAGTTGCTTGAATTTTGTAGTAGAAATCCTAGTTTTCTAGATTATTCTTAATCAATGACCAATCTTGTGCAGTGTTGACCAGTCTTTTTGAGCCACTGCACATCTTAGGAGTAAGGTTTGACTAAAATCGCAAATAGCTTGCGGATCGTGTGATTTTCAGATAGTTTTTTTGGAACACAGTTTGGACAACACTGAAGTAGTGTCTGACAGCAGCGTTAGGGGTCAGTTTTAAAGGCTGCTTAAGGCACCTTAGTCTTACTTGATTTTAATGTCATTGTGTAATTTGAATTATTTCTAATCTAGCGCATCTGCACATTCTAACAGGACATAAAATTCTAATAAAAATCAGCAAAAAAGGCAATAAATTTTTAATTGAAAAGCCTTCCTTCCTCCTTAACTAGATCAACAAGTCATTGCATATATCCCACGAAAGTAATCCAACTCATTTAGTATGTGGAGCATCTCCATAATTGAGTATGTTTCATTTCAATATGTGCATATATGATTCATGTCCAAAGAGTGAATAAAATAAATAAAAACCCGATCTGCACATGTTATTTGAAGCTTTCTAGTGGCTGCCTCATAGTTGAGACATCACACAGGACCTTTGAGTATCAACTAGCTCCAGAGTTCAAAGTCGATAGGGTTCGAGTCGACTTCTAGCTCTGACCAGCCTTATCGTGAATCCTTTTGATGACTCAAATGTAGGAGCCACCCGACTACAGCCACAAAAAACATATAAAGATCGGGTAAAAAATGAATATGGCGGTTAAAAATTTACCCTTATGAGTCCATGTCCAGTTTTCATTTCCACATCGCTGACAGAACTGCCATTATTGCACAAGCCTGTGCCATTTGTATTGTTGTTGTTATCATTCACATTCTGTCCCATGCACAGACGTTTATTATGCGGCCCATCTGTGTCGCAGCCATTGAATGCCATTTTCATTATTCCTGATATTTTCGTTATTTCACTTCCGCTTAGATCCAGAAAATATTTATTAGTATGTGTGTGTGTCTGTGTCTATGTATGTGTGAGCCTCCGTTTCACTTTTTATTGATATTAATTTAGCGCAATTGAATGCATTCAAATTCACTTTTATTTCTTCTCGTGCTGCACATTCGTTCACTTTCTTTCAGGTCTTAATATGCTTTATTTGTGATTGTATTTGTGAGATATTGTGTCAATTGTGGATATCTTTATGATTTAATTTTTAATTGGATTTTTTTATGTAAACATTTTTTTTTATATATTTTGCAATGCAATTGTCATGATAAGACGCAATTCACCTTCACTTGACTTTAGTTTTTTGGTTCTTTGGAATATTTTTTCACTTTAAATTATTTTTATTAAATTTTAAAAAATTGATATTTAATTGAATTTCACTTTGTTGATTATGTTTGGATTCTTAAAAATATATCGATGATGATTATGATGCAATATTATGCTACTGAAGCTGAAAAAGAGAAAAAAAAGAGAAAGTTAAAAATAATTTTAATTGAAAAAGAAAAAAGTAAATAAAATTTGTGTAATTATTGCACTTTAAATTATGTTTTTCGTGCGCATTGAAGGGTAAAATTTTGGTTATTACGTGTTAACATTACAAATGTTTATTTTATACAATTATGATTATGATTATTATTATTTTGCAAATTACATTTTTATGATTTCTATTCAAATTGTTTGTAAACAAGACTTTTTTTCAGACAAAGCCGTCGAGAACAATTATGGTGAATTTGTAAATGATGTTCATTGGTTGTGGCAAATTTGATCTCTTTTTATGTGTTATTTATTGTCTCCATCAAGCATAACACGAGCAAAATATGAAATTTAATTACTGGGGGGTCCTCGATTTGAGTAGGTGTTTTGTTCCAGTAAAATCCTATTCAAATCGAATCTACTCAAATCGAGGACCCATAGTATACAAAAATCTACAATTTAAAGACCAACCCCAAAGTCAACTCAAAAACCCCATCTAGTGGTTGTCAGCTTATAACAAAAAAGGGAGGGAAAGTTCGTCTGATGTGCTAAAACAGGGCACATAGGCAGCCTCTCCATACAAAACAACATGGAACAGTTTATATTTTAATGTTTCCATAAGTACATAACTTTCAAATGAGCCCTTAATACAGAAATAATTAAAATGTTGTCAGCTTGTAACTTTTATTATGAAATCATTGTTTTTTTTCTATAAGTTTATTGACCTGATGCATGTCTTGCATTTCCATAAATATAGTAAGGAAAGAAGCAATCAAAACTAAGCTTAAAACGTCGCGAAGAAAATTAAAAATCTGATTTTAATTTAATTTGTATTTAGCAAAATTTGATCGAGGGATAAAAATTTTAAAGCGCGGATTGTGACCCGATAGAAAATTTCTGTCGGTCCTTTGACTCTCAACTGAAATTTTATGAATTTTAAATATCGATAAGTATCTTAAAAAATAATTTAAAGAAACCAAAGCTTCAGCTCAAATTTCTAGTTTAGACAGACGATTTTTCAAACAGTCAAAAGTGACAAAAATATTTAATTTACTGATATTTAACCAAGATTTCATGACAAATCAGATATAATGATCAAGTTTCAAACTGAATAAACAATTTTTCATTTAACTCAAATTTTAAAAGGTCTCAAAAAGGTGCCAGCTGTAATTACTGGTCCTGACAAGATCAAGAAATTGTCATTTCATTTTGGTCTCACCTCAAGTAAACGCGTTTGATTATATAAAAGTTTTATAATAAAACCAACAATACAATCACAGCGATTTATTGGATCTTATTCCCGGGTGGACATAGCCAGTTAAAGTCCATTATTGGACAATCATTTAACAGTCTTTTAACTTGCCGAAATTTATACGACATAGAGAACTAGACGTTAACTAGACTTTAACTGGACTTTCATGCTAATCAATCAAGTGCTCGAAACTCAAAAATAATTTTCCTTACTTTTTTGAGCATATACTTCACAAGCGCTTGCAGAAATCACTTATATAAGGTCTACCAAAATTTGTATGAAACCTTTAAGTAAATATAATTGTTTCACGCGCAAGTGTTCGAGACTTAATGCTTACTAGAGATTTTTCATAAGTGTTGGTGTACTTTAATTAATTAATTACACTAATACATTAATAAAATTTTACAAAAGAAAAAAATATGGAGAAAAAGACACGTGTTATTTATTTTATTTCGATTTTTTTGTAACTGGACATTAACTAGACATATTTGCAATTCCTATGTCCAGTTAAATGGAAAGCGCAAAATATGTCATTAGTCGTCCTTAAGTCTAGTTGCAAAGGCACGTCAATGGATACTTACTCGCCGTGAACAGGCAAGTCAATGGCAAGCTTTTAACTAGTACTTTGTCCACTCAATATTGTTTAAATTTAAGACAGTTCGATTCTTTGAGTTTATGAATCGAAACTTGAGTCTAGGTCATCCGGCATCTTTTGAGGCCTATCGAACCCGACTTGTTATTCATTAGTATACACATATGGCAGTTATATGGAGATCTACACCATGGATTCCTTGCTTTCTCCAGATGACTTAGACTCACTGTCTTTAGTCAAGATTTAGTTCAACAACTAAGTTGACTTAATTATACATGTTAGTAAAAAATAGAATATTTTTACTATTTCGTAGTTTCGTGAATTAAATTTGGATTATTTTTTTTTTATGATTTTAAATATGTTGCAAGAATTTTAACTGCCATAATCTTTTTAATCTGTAATTCCTATAATATTGCTATAAAATTTTGTAACGAATTTTTTATAATTTAAATCCGCAAAAGATGCAAAATGTCTGAATTTGCTTCTTTCTTTTAATTGTCAAGTTTGTGAATGTAAAGAATTGGCTCATACAAAAATTAATTAAATAAGGCACTAAAAGTAAGAAAAGACATTTTTATACATAAGAATGTAATTAACTATTAATTCTATTATCAATAGGTGATAGAATCTGTTCTTAAATTTATTCCAAATACAAAGTGACTAAGAGTCACGAGGAAATCAAGAGATCGAGGATTTTTATTTGTTTGCTGTACAATTTGATACTTCAGGAGCAGAATTAAAAGGATCTAGTTGCTGAATTAACAAGAGGAATTACATATCAAGACTCTAAATATTGAAGTTGGTGAATATAGGTTTTGGAATTTGTAGTCAGTTTCTTTCACGAATTAAGATGGTGAGCAAAATACTTTACATAAATTCTATCACTTTTACTGAAGTAAAAGTGTAATAAATAAGAAAAAAACTCAGTGATAAATCAAAAATCATATGAAATATTAACAAAATTAAAAAAAAAAAAAAAAAAAAAAAATTTATGGTTAGCTGGATCTTAAAAAAAAAAACAGTGTCAGATAGTCTTATATGACACAAATGAAAGTTTAGTTGTGTTCAAACCTAAATATACATTTATATAAATAGAACATCCAGAAAGTGAAATTTTAACCTCCAGATTCGTTTTAATAGTAATTTAATAGTAATAGTAATAGTAATTTTATTCAATTGACAGCCTTACAAGGCTTTTGAATTCTCTGTTATTTATTTTCGTTGGTTTAATCATACATTGTATGGTGATTTTAATTAATATTCTTGTCTGTCACGTAATTCAAAATACTTAATATAATTATCATCTTTAAATCTATTCATTCATCATTATTTCCTTACAATTTATCCCACTTTAATTAAATAAATGATGGTTGACGGTTGTGAATATTGTTTAAAATCCTATGAAGGCAATGTTAGAGCCGCTAAGTGTGGATTTCCTTCTTGTTTGAAATGGGTACATGAACCATGCGCAGAAACGAATCAAGTTTCCAAGACTGGGTTTTGGTACTGCAAAATTCATATTTCTAAAATTCCTCAAGAACAAAGAGTGGTTAATGAAGAAGAAAGTGAATCCGAAATAGAAAGTGTTGATGAAGAAGCAGAAGAGCTTAAAGGCAATAAAACAGAAAAGTCTAAGGTTCCAATAAAAGAAAATCAGGTTTCTGATAAACAATCTGAAAAGTTTGAAAATGATAAAGTTGTAGACTCAAAAGAAAGCCCAAAACTTCCATTTACGTCTCAATTAGATCTGAATAAAATAAAAAAGACTTTCCATGGTTCGAATTGTAGCTTAAAGAAAAAATTGAAAAAAAATAAGAAAGAATTAATTTCTATCGTTCCGTTTAATAATGAAGACTATAATAATCCATTTGCTAATTTTAATTGTGAATCATGTCAGGGAGATTTTACAAAAAATAAAAGAGGTGTTTTATGCATTAATTGCAGGAACACCTATCATGAAACTTGTCTTAATGAATCAGAGTTAGAAGATAAGAATAATTTTCGATTTGTTTGTCAGTTTTGCATTCAAGATAACATTCGTTTAGAAAGAATTAATAAGAGACAAGAACGAGGACTGAAAATATTAAAAAATATAGCTGGCGATGACGTCAATATGAGAAAGAAGTCTGATTCCTTTATTTCTAGTACCGCAAAGAATATTAAAAATGAAATGAAATTAAAAAATTGCTTCGAGAATTCTAGTTCATCCTTAAGTTCCGACACTACTGATGAAGATATTGATGATAAACTATTAAAGAAGTATAAAAAGCTAAAGGCACTTATAAAGTCACGAAAAAGTAAATCAAAAAAGAAAGTTGATAGCGATTTTTCTAGTGAAAGTAGCGAAGACGAAAGTGATGATTTTGAAATGACACAAAGTCAAGCAATGATAAATTTATTAAAGTCAAATCAGGAAGATAGAAACAGAAACAAATTTGAAAAGCTTCCATTAGTTGAATATGTCGATACTAAATGGTCTATATTTTTTGATCTTTTTTCTCAATCACGTAAGATGTTTTCAGATTCCGAAAACGTTTTGAGGATTCAAAATTCAATTAAATGCAAAGAGATAATCGATATTGGAGGTGTTAACTTGTATGATCCTCGAGCCTATTGGCAAGCTATTAAATTAATTAACAAAAGATTGAATCAGTCTTTTAATCTATTACATAGAGAAACAGCAGAAATCATTAAATTAAAAAAGCTTAGATATGAAAGCGACAATAAAAGGATCATTGAATTCATCAATAAAGTAGTAAATTATAATTCAATTGTAGTTAAATACGGCAGTAGAAAACACGAAACCGATGATCGCGTAATTTCACACATTGGAAATATAATGCCCAACAGCATGCTAAACGGTTGGCACAAATTAAAGTCTAAACTTGAGAATAAATCATCTGTTGTATGTGTCTCTCACATTTCCGATTATCTTAGTAAACAAGTAGCTTATATTTCATCCAAAATGCAAGCTGAAGAATTAGATCCGTGGAATCAAGACAGTTTTCCTAATAAAACCTTCAAACGAAATGATTTTAATAATAAGAGAACATATAATACTTTCTTTAATGATA